GTCACCACCCTTTTACCATCGTGGCAATACGATGTGGCTTGTTAGCTCATTTTTCCCAATCTCCTTCCTCCTTTGGAGCTGGACTCGAGCCTGACCACTCGATGATACTTGGTTGCGATCTCTATCGAATAGTATGGTTGTCTCTCTTTTGAGCCGGTGACCGCACACGACCTGCGATTCCTGCACCAGGCCATAGTTCTTGAAGGAGTTTTGGTCGAATAGGTCCGAGCCGCCTGGCATTCCTAGTTTCACTTATGGTGATCACAATGTTTGGTATAGCAACGCTGAAATCATACTCGGCTGGGCGGGGTTTCCCTGCCAGATGTGCCTTGTTGAATCTAGTTCCATTAGAGGTTCCTCGAGGGTGCTGTCCTCGGGCTATTTCCCTATTGTTGCGAGGTAGGTTGCATCTCGAGTCGTTCCTTCCATTCGCAGCGATTCGCAGCGCACGGATGATACCTCCATCCGTTTGGCATCAGCTTCTTTGTCGGTAGTTTGCTTGGATATACCAAACCTGAGGAGGTTCCCAGATGGTTGTCCACGGGAGACGGTTGCTGTAAGAGCTTCCACGAACCTGATTCGATCCTTTCGAAGAGATTCCCAAGCATCCTCACTACGGCGGGGTCGGCTACCGATCCGTCGCTACTTGATCTCTCGGGTACTAGCTCGACGTAAGGAAACTTTTCCGGCGCTACTCCGTTTGGAGTCTCCGGGCGACTTCGCAGCCGAGCGATAGCCAACTGTCACGCCTGCAACATTTCAAAAATAACATGAAGACTAACTTCCTGTTCTACCAGGCCCGAGGTTTTTTGAGCTTCCTATTGGTCAACACGCTATGTGATACCATTGGTGCGCGAGGCTTTGTTGACCTGTTGCGCGCCATGCAACCCCGTGTCCGCTTGAATTGATCCAAATGCATTATTGGGGTCCTGTGGTGTCGCTCCAACCTCTGGAGCAGCCATACTATCTTCGCTATGACTTTCGGGGTAGTCGTTCTCGATTTTGCTTACCTAGTTGGGCGTTATCCTAGAATCAAAAGATCTTTGGCAAGAAAAAGCGTGAAAGATAATGTGCGTTTGTGTGACGAAACCAGCAAGAAAATAATCACTATTATTTTTAGCCCCATGGTGGGCGCTAAACTGTTTACCGTGGAAATGGTAACAACAATTAAATTTGTAAATGGGATTCTAAAAATATGTGATCTATTCCTGAGCTAGTTTTTAGAGTAGTTGATGCTAAGAATGCTAAGTATAATGATGAAAAGTGAGCTAAAACGAGGAAGTAATCAAACCAAAGGGGCCTGTTGCCCGGATGCAAAGTCGGTCGACGGGGGCCAAGGTTTGAGCCGAGCTTGGGCTACCGAGGGCAGTCAGGAATGGGGTAAAAAGTAGAGATATGATCGAACAAGGCTCTATGCTACCAATATTGAACGATATAGTGAAGAACAAGTAAAAGAATGATAAATGCTAAAACGGCGTCGGGCCAGTGAGAGCAAACAACTTAGAAGAAACGAGAGAGAGAGGGAGATTATTGCACTTGTGGAGAAATGGAGCAACATCAGCCCCTTACAAAATGGTATGGGTTCCCCTTATATATGCGAAGGAACACGGTATGGTACAGAGTTCATTAAATGTAAAGATGTGGGGATGGGATGGCTAGACGTGATGTCTCAGCATAGGCTCCGGATAGGCTGAGCCTGTCAGACGTAGCCATGTGCCTAGGGGGCTTCCCCCTCTGTCCTGGCTTCGTTCCTTCTTTCCTCCGAGACGGGCTTCGACGAGCCCCGAGGCTGAGAACTCGGTCATGGCCTCCCGCCCTCGGGGTCCCACGGCATGCTTCCGAAATGTCTTGATAGCGAGAAATAAAGTCTTCTAATTTCGCCATGTACACGATGTCAACTTAATAAATCATATCATTTGTGATGCACAATCCTAGTCATCTCAAACTCAGTGTCTCATATAATAACCTCACTTTGCAAACGTTTAGCATACCTGGCACCTCGTGCTCAAATATTTCTATCTCACTTTGTACAACGACGTTCTCATGTTACTCAGTACATAGGGTCCATAACCACTGCAATTAAGATGTTCAAGGAATCTCATTTACATAACATAAAGTAGAGTACATTTTCTAAACCAATTAGGAACTCAGCAAGAAAAGATGAAGTTATTATTAGAAATCATTTGAATAAAGAAAATACAATTTTCAAATAAAAATACAACATCAAATGATTTATTACCTTTAACATGGGATTTAATAAATTAAATTAGTAGAAATTCCTTTTTAAGTAAAATACAACCTCAAACGGTTTAAGGGAATTCAATTGAGAAACTAATTGAGTTAAAAATGTAACAATTATTGAAATTTGGAAGTATTGAAATATATATATAAATATGGCGAGGTATTGTAAATCTAAACAGTAAAACATTTGCATTGATAACAACAAATACAACGGAGAGAAAGTCACATAAAAGAACATAACTCCACACATAGATAGAAACTGGGGATCTACCAGGATACCATCCTGTAGTCCCCAAATATAAATATCCAGTGGATCTCCTGGGTGTCGTCCCGTAGTCCAACTCATACTGCGCGGGGATCTCCCAGAATACCGATCCGTAGTCCCAAATATAAATACCGAGTATTGGGGGAATCAACTGGGTGCAATCCCGTAGTTCCAATATAACAATGCAGGGGGATCTCCCGGAATACCGATCCGTAATCCCAAAGTAAACATACAGGGGGATTTCCCGGGATACCATCCCGTAGTCCCAAAATAAACACACAGCAGCAATACAAAGGATAATCAACAACAATCAAACAATCCAATAACATGAATTCCACCACCAATAGTATGAATACATGACAACACGAGAATCATGGAAAACCCAAGAAGCCCTTTAACCTTAACAAAACAACAAGTCGTAACATGCACGTGATAACTACGACAACTACAACAATTTGGACACATAGCATATATACACGGGGTCATAGAGGAATTTACAATTAAGAGATAACAAAATGATAAGGAGAACAATCGCTTCAATTAAGGCAAATAAGGTCAAGTAACAAGTAAGAGTTAGAGGGAAGCTAACAACATCGTATGGAGCATATAGAGATAAATTAAGCAATTAAGAAACTCAATCATAACGGAAATACTTCCCACATAATGAATATAAGGACCTAAGAAACCTAAAGGCAAATTTTTCACAAATAAGTCCGAGCACACACTCGTCACCTCGTGTGCACGGNCCTAAGGGGAAGGCCCCCCCCCCCCCACAAGGTTAGGTAAGATACGTACCTCAATCCATCAAATTCAATACTCAATTTAGCTTTTCCTTTACCGATTAATCAACGCTCGGCTCAATCTAGCAAAAAACAACTTGAATACATCAAACAATGCAAGAGAAAACAATTTCAATTGACAAAACTATGATTTTTATACAATTTGCAAAAAGTCAACGAAAGTCAACTCCCTAGGCCCGCACCTCGAAACCCGACAAAATTTACCAAAATCGAACAATTATTCCGCTACGAGTTCACCCATATAAAAATTATCTAATTCTGATACCATTTGGTCATTCAAATCATCATTTTACATTTTTGAAAGATTTCACAATTTTTCCCAAATGTTTCCTTTAGATTCTCATGAATCTGATGTTAAATCTAAGATATAATCACAAAATATAGTTGAAAATTGATTAGAGACACTTACCCAATGATTTGGAGAAGTTTGGGACCTTGAAAAATTGCATATGGAGGTGTAGGGTTTGAGAAAGTTGAAAAATGGGTGAAAATCCCGTCTAAAATCTCACTTAACAGGTCTCAGATGTCGCATTTACGACCCAGCGTTTGCAATTGCGAACCTTCGCAAATTGCAAACAAATCAAGTCTGGCAGAAGTCGCATTTGCGACAAAAAGCTCGCATTTGCGAACTGGGCATCGCAAATGCGATAAAAAAGTTCGCATTTGCGAACACACCAGAAACCATCCATTTTTCCCAACATGAAAATGAGCATAACTTCCTCATAAGATGTCCAAATTTGATAATTCTTTTTCCTATGTCTCCATAATTTTTATATGGATCTAATGGTTCAAACAAAACAAAATTTGGATATCATTTGCTCAATGTGGTATTATTTTTGCTTGAAGAAACGACGATGAAGCATCCAAAAACAAGCGCAGCATAGCCTAAACCTATGTGAAACTCACCCAAGCCCTCAGGGCTCCCAACTAAACATGCACACAAGTCTAAAAACATCATACGAACTTTTTTGTGAGATCAAATCATCAAAATAATATCAAAAACTATAAACTTAACCTCAAAACTCATGATTTTCTAACTTTTCAACCGGACGTCCAAATCACGTCAAATAAATTCCGGTTCTCACCAAATTTTACAAATAGGACTTAAATATCATAAAAAACTTGTACCGGGCTCCAGAACCAAAATACGGGCCCGATACTAACGAGTTCAAACATTAATTCATTTTTTTATTTCCTTTAAAAATCAACACAACAATTTTCTTCAAAAATTGTTTTCTAAGGCTGGGGACCTTGGAATTCAATTCCAGGCATACGCCCAAGTCCTATATTTTACCCTGGACCTTTCGGGATCATCGGTACACAGATCCGGATCCGTTTACCAAAAATATTGACCAAAGTCAACTAAAAACCAAATTTTAACTCTAGAAATTACTATATTTTTCATATTTTCACGTCCGAACTGCGCACGTAAGTCGATACACATAATATGAAGCTGCTCGTGACCTCAAACTACCAAACCAGATGCAGTTGCTCAAAACGACCAGTTGGGTCGTTACATATACACACCTAAAGACATACAAACTGACATGTTGTCGGATCATGGTGTCAACTTAACATACATGCAAGCTTGGAGAGCAAAGGAAAAGTCTTTGTAATTTTTGAGTTGTCATCCTGTTGATTCCTACAGTCGCTTGCCATGTTATTTGTATATTCTAGAGAAGACTTATCCGAGGATGGTACTTAAATTAAAGAAGACTAAAGATGACTGTTTATTGTGTGCATTTGTTGCGCTTAGTACATCCATCAAGGGTGGGAAGTATTGTAGGCCAATTGTAGTAGTTGATGGAATCATCTTGAAGTCGGCATATAGGGGAATAATGTTAACAGGTAGCACAATGGATGCAGCAGGTATTGTAGATTCATTGTAGAAATATTGTTGTAAAGTTGTCACCTTCTTGATTTTCTTTTTGCCACCTGTGTGATAGGTAGAATATTACCACTGGCATATGCTATTGTTGATTCAGAAAATAACATAGCATGGAATTGGTTTTTTGAGCAATTCAAACATCTGTATGGTGAAAAATCAAATATATGTGTTGTTTTGGACCGGAATGAGAGTATCTTGAAGGCAACATCTACTATTTATACTGGAATACCACATTATGCTTGCATGTGGCATATTTGGACAATTGTAAGGTCAAAGTTCAAGAAGGGTTATCTAAAGTTAAGCAAATTGTACTTTGCTCCGGCACGATCATACACAATTGATGAATTTAATGAAAGAATGTCAAAGATTGAAGAGATCGACACGCGTGTTAAAGCATACCTATACGATATTGGCTATCATAGATGGTCTCAGGTACATGCTATGGTGAACAGAACGTGGATGATGGCATCAAATATTGCAGAGTCATTGAATGCAGTAACAAAAAATGCAAGAGAGCTGCCCGTAGTAGAACTATTAGAGTACATAAGGACTCTTCTTGAAAGTTGGAATAATAAAAAGTTATTGAAAGCAAAGAGTACATTCACATACCTTGGGAAAAAATACAACAAAGAGTTGGAGGACAACATGACATTATCGCAGAAGATGAGAGTAAGCTATATCCAGTAACATCAGATCAATGTTTCCATCAAACTAAATATGTACTATTAATTGTAAATAAATTGTTATTTAATTGTAGTTATTTTATACATGTTACTGACAACTTATTGTGTGTTTGTAATTAAATTTTAGGTGAGGGCTTCCATAGAACACATCCATACAGTGATAGATGGTGTGAAGCGATTTATTGTTTACCTTCAAAACAAGAGATGTAGTTGTGGACAGTTCCAACTTCATGAACTTCCTTGTTCACATGCTTTGGCGGCTTTGAGGCACATGAGAGAGTCTTATGAAAACTATTGTTCTCCTTATTACACGAGGGAGAGTCTTTTGAAGACTTATGAAATACCAGTAGACCAGTTGCCTGATGAAAGCAAATGGAATGTGCCACAACATGTAGCTGAAGAAGTTGTAAAGCCACCTACTAGGAAAAGATAGCCAGGGAGACCTCAAAAACAAATATACAAACCATATGATGAAGTAAAAGCAAAGAAGTACAAGGTTTCATGTGAAAACTGCGGACTAGAAGGGCATAATAAAAGATCTTGTAAGAGTGCTCCCAAAAGGAAACAAAAATGGATAAAGTCGCTACAATTTTTTGATAGATTGTATTGAGGTGTTCTGGAGAATTATAGTTGAGTTTTAATTGTGTTGATAAATTGAATAAAGACTGTCTGCTATAATGAAATATTTTCAACTCTTAATGCAATTGGTTTGTGGTTGTTTTGTTTAACTACATTTCTTCAACCAACAACCTTAGGGTGGTGTAACGACCCGACCACTCGTTTTGAGAATTTGCACTTCGCTCACCAGTTCTCGAGAATGACAATGTATTATGACTTATGTAAATCATCGATTTTGGTTTTCAGGGTAATCCGAATGGATTTGGAAGAATAGTTGTCAGTTTGAAGCTTTAAATTTGAAAGGTTTGACCGAGTTTTGACTTTTTAGTATTCGATCTCGGATTTGGATTTTAATGATTTGGTTAGCTCTGTTAGGTGATTTTGGACTTGGGAACGCGTCCGGAATGTATTTTGGAGGTCCGTGGTAAATTTAGGCTTGAATTGGTGAAATTGGAAATTTGGCATTTTCCGGTCGACAGTGAAAATTTTGGTATCGGGATCAGAATGGAATTTTGGAAATTGGAGTAAGTCCATTCTGTCATTTGGGACGTGTGAGCAAAATTTCAGGTCATTCAGACGAGGTTTGGTAGACCTTTTGATCAAATTCGGAATTCGGAAGTTTTTAGAGTTCTTAGGCTTGAATCCGTGGTTAATTTGATGTTTTGATGTTGTTTTGAGTGTTTTGAAGGTTGGAACAAGTTTGAATGATGATATGGGATATGTTAGCATATTTGGTTGGGGCCCGATGGCCTCGGGTGAGTTTCGGGTAGTTATCAGAGTGTGTTTGGTATATGGGATATGTTGGCATATGGGATATGTTGGCATATTTGGTTGTTGCTGCTGCATTTTTCTTCTGCTGGTTTCCTTATATGTGATCACAAAAGTGGGGTCGTGATCATGTAGGTCTGTTAAGGGCAGCTGGGAAGTTGTTTTATATGATCGCCAATTGTGGTCTGCGATCACGAGGTCTATCAAGTTGGCCATTACGAACGCGTGGCTGAGGTTGTGTTTGCGAAGAAGGATTTGGAGCAGTCGTGAGGTTTAGGAATTTCTCTATGCGATCGCGTAGTGAGAGTCGCGTTCGCATTGTTTAGTGATCTTGTTATCCGTGATCGCATGTGTGTTTTTGTGATCTCGTAAATTGAAATAGAGTCGGTCATCAATTGTGCTTCGCGATCGTGAGGCTATTTCCACGATCACAGTGAAGGAATTTAAATTGCTGGGCAAAATATTTAAAAAGCCATTTTCGCGATTTTTGGCCATAGTTCACCATTTTTAGTCAGTTTTGGAGCTTCTTGGAGGAGATTGAAGAGGGAATTCAAGAGAACTTCTTTGAGGTAAGATTATCGAACCTAAAACTCGATCCTATGTTGATTCTTACTTGTTTAAACATGAAATTAGTAGGATTTAAAGCCTAAAATTGGGGAGTTAGGGCTTGAAATTGGACACTTTGATTTGAGGATTTGAGGGGTCATTTGTGGTCGGATTTTGATGTATTTGATATATATGAATCGGAGAAGTGGGCTCGGGGTCGGGTTTGGCCAATTTCAGGATTTTTGATGTAAATTGGTTATTTCTGAGAGAGCTTTGTTCCATTAGCATATTTGATGGTATGAATCTGAATTTGGTTAGATTTGGAGCAATTAGAAGCAAATTCGAGGGGCAAAAGTATCGTGGGCTAGAGTTTGGACCGGACTGAGGTAAGTAATGATTGTAAATGTTGTTCTGAGGGTATAAAACCCCGGATTTCACATCATTGTGCTACTTTGAGGTGACGCACACGCTAGATGATGAGCGTGGGGTCCTGCACCGTTGGGGATTGTGACTTGGTCTATCCCGTACTACTGTTAAGTCGTGTATTTGATTGAAAACTATTTGATATCATTGTGTTTTGGAAAGTATTGTTATGTTTGGGGTGGAATGCCATATTTGGGCCTCGTGCCAGCTGTTTTGGACCCTTATGGGGATTTTTAACTACTATTCCTCACTACTTTGACTTAGTAATTGTACTCAGTCATGCTGTGTTTTATTGATTTCCTAACTCAGCCTTATTTACTCAATTTTGATACTATAAATGATATTTTCAACTGAATGCTCTATTTTACTGATAGTCCGAGTGGCTTGTGAGGTTGATGGCTGAGAGAGGTCGAAGGCCTTATTGTGAGGTTAATGACAGAGAAAGACCGAGGGTCTGATTGTGAGGTTAATGACTGAGAGAGGCCAAGGGTTTGGTTGTGAGGATTAAATATTTATGGATCGGGCTGCACGCTATATATATATATATATATATATATATGTG